CTTTGAAGCATGCATTAAAAGGTCAAATATTCCCAACTTTTTCTTTGGGTGGAATGTTAAAAATACTGAATAGATAATTTCCAGGGCAGTTTTGCAACCAAGGGCATTAGAAGTTTTGGAGTATCTGTTCCTCTTAATTTACTTAACCTTTTTTATCTACTTTTAAAAAATGAAATGCATTTTAATATTGTTCATTGAATTACATGCATTGTTTTCTTCTGTTATGGAAAACCAGTGCTATGAACATGATGTTTTCTGGGCACACTGTTCCCGGATGCAGACCCACCTTGCAAACATTACACACAGGAACTGTGGGGCAGGAGGGAATTGCACATTTGGCCGCAATTCAAGCACTATACCCAGGGAGCAAATAGATTGCTCACAAGAATTAAAATCAAAGCATCACTCAGACTTCAATATGTACAGATGAAGTTTTCAGCTGCAATTGTTCCTGTCGACAGGATCCAACTTTGTAATTAATGAAAAGACAGGGAGTACTTTGCACTCCAAGTATACCTCCATCAAAGGAATCCCCTGCTTTTCGCCAACACTAACTCAGCCACCACTGCAGGATGGGATGCAGTGGGACTCCGGGTCCCCACAGGAGCAGGGCTCCCCTGCTGTTTGGGTGCCAAGAGCTGTGATGCCCTCTTCCCCCTAAAGTGCCACTTTCCCACTCAAGTGGTCCCACACACATCCAAGCCTCATTTCAGCACGCTCTGGAGCGCTTTGTTGGAGCTGTAGCAATTGAGCTCAGGCTGGGCATTCCCTCTGCTGTAAAGCCCTTCGCTCCTCACCCAGTGGGACAGCCAGTATGGGTGCAGAAGGCGAGCGCAGAGGGAGCAGAGCATCCCACCCTGCCCCTTGCTGCTGACACCAATGCACAAATAACTGGTAACATCAAACTGCTGGGAGGAGGGCGTTTTGTACAGCAGAATGCAGACTGCCTAAATAATGAATTAAGAAGCATCAAAGAATGAGTATGTAAAAGGATAGAGAGGGAAGGTCTGATATTTTAGACTATGCTAGACCGCAATGAATAAATTATAAGAAAGGATGAATACTTTACTAAGCATAAGGATGTCTAGCAAAGAAAAGTTCCTATACTTCTCATCCCTCACTGGGTCCCAAATGAAGACAGAGCTGATGGCTTAGCCAGTCCCATGAGGCTTTTTTTCCACCTAGGTTTTCATCCAGACTGAGGCATCTTCGTTTAACAGCATCCATTCTGTCTTTGAGCCTTTTACACCAGAGACAAGCCTGCTTATTTCTCTGATGCCGCTGAAGTTCTCCCAGTCGTAACAAACTAAGAACACCCAGTCAGTTTGACAGAGATGAAGTGATAGGTAGGAGGCACATTTCATTACGCTATCAAGGCTTTGGCGCAGTAATTGGTGAAGAAACAATTCAGAGCTGTCAGCTCGATACACATGCCTTTCCACTGACTGATGTGTTGAGTCCTTCATGGGTAATGAATGACAGCCAACGGCGGATACCGCCACAATCTCACCCTCGTACCCAGTATCCTTGTGACCATCCCTCCCCGCCACCTCCTGCACATCCCAAGGGCCGGGCACGTTCCTGTACCTGATATGTGACTGTGATGAGGATTTTAGTTATCTGTATGATGAATTAAAACCAAATCCTGGACAGGGATAAGCCCCACTGCAGTCTCTGCACGCTCAGGACCTCTCCACGTTCCTCACCCGACACAAACCCATGGACGATAATGGAGAAATGCCAAGAAGTTGTTGACCTTCACATCCACTGCAGCCTTCCTCTTTCCACAGGCTGTGTCCCACCCCATGCCACTGAAAGGAAAATGATAGTTTCCAGGTTTCATCACATACACCCACAGAGGGGATCCAGAGCTCTAGCTCAAACACCACAGCTAATGATGGATGCATTGCTCTTGTGCCACTGGAATGGAGAGTGTCTGCCTTCTTTCAATACTTTCATCATATTACAGTACTCACCTGCTTTCCATCCTTCTTGCACGGTAACCCAATTACTACCCTGTATTAACTTTTAAAGCTTTTATTTTGCTCAGCTGTTTAAAGCTGCATCTTAGGCAGCAGAGAAATCAGCTCCACGTCTCTAACCAACACTCAGGCACAGCACCCCTCTCTGGGCAGCCACTGGTTAACTGTGGGATACATCTGGAAAAGGGGTAATCTGCACAGCTCAAGTATTTGTCTTTGATAACAAATACCCTCAAGGTAATTGTTGGGGTTTTTAAACAGAAAAACTCCACTATTTTCCAGTATTTTTGTACTATTTCCTGAGTCAGTAGTCCACATTTTCAACAACTTCAGATGCACACAAACACACACCCAGTGAAATAAATGGCACAAGCAGGTAGGTAGTGAAATGTGCAGGATAAATTGCAAGACTGCGTAATGTATTGTTTAAGTGAAAACCCAGACGTTGCAGCAGAACAGGAATTGCATTAACTGCTAAAAAGAGACAGTTTAGTAGGGCATTTTTGTACAAGAAAATGAGAAAGAGCATTTGGTACCAAAGATTAACTGAAAATTATTTTCCAACACCAACTAAGCAAGTTGCTTAAAGAAAAGCTGAAGAAAATGATTCTGATATTATAGAATCTGAGTAATCTCACGCTAAAGCCTAAAATCTCCCTGGATTAATCTTTTTTCCAGGCATTCCCTTCTACAAACAAGAAGGAGGAAAACCGAAATCATCATCTGCAAGAGCAGTTGCTTTATTGCGCTCCTAGTGAACATCTTGCATTTGAAATGAGACTCCATTTGAGCAGCCAAGAGAACATTGGAAAGGGCTCTAGTGCCATCTGCTGCACTCCCATCAATCAGATGTTTAAGTGCTGCTCTGCCTTACCTGGAAATTGGATGTCCACCACAATGTAAGAGACAATTCCAGTCAAGGGATATCCAGGACAAGCAGCTGACACAGAAACAAACACGAGATCCTAGAGCACCATGCTGGATGCGAGTGGGCTCTGGTGAAGAGCTGAGGAGACCAATGAGACTTACTCACATAGAATTACAGAATGGTTTAGGTTGGAAGGGACCTTCAAAGGCCATCTAGTCCAGCCCCCTGCAGTGAGCAGGGACAGCCTAAACTAACTCAGGTTGCCTAAAGAAACCCAAACTATGACCGATGGGGTAGCTGAGCTCCATACAACTAATTCTCACCCTCTACTCAAAACCTTTCCACATTTTGTGTACTATATTGTTTCAAACACTCTTCTAAGGGCCAAAGCCAAATCTGATTTTAAGCAGATACAAGTCAAAAACCAAAGCCATTTCTGAAGTGATACATGTTTGAAGTAAATTCAGGTGCTTCTCTTCTCATTAATAGTGTCATTTTTCTTTTTTGCTCTCCTCATTTTTCATTTGCCATGGAGAGATAGGAAAGAGAAGGAAAACCAAGAAAACATAAAGGAAAGTAAGAGATACAGTCTGCTCTTTATTTTTGTGCTTTATTCCCCACTCCAAAAGGCAATAGTAAAACACAAAAAGTTGTATTTTATATATCTATATTATTCGTTATATTTTATTTATACACATTTTTATGTTTTATCTGTATTTTTATGCTATAAAAATATTTCATCTTTCTAAGAAAAAAGAGCACCCTACTAAAAAAAATACATTTGAGCAGCATGCACCACCAGCCTTGGCCCTTCTGAAAAGCCCACCCTGGCTGGGGACACTGCCCCCCTCCTTGCCCGGCTGGGACTCTGGCAACGTGGGTCCTTCCCTTTCTCCCTCCTGCACCTCACAATGTAACATTTTCAATACCCTCATTTTTGGCTCTGTCCCAGCGGGGTTTCCACACACTTTGCTGCAGTTATAATTGTGTTCATGAGGTCTTCTGAGCCTCAGCCTTGGGAATGACACTGCCCATTTTACCCCTCCGCAGCCTTTACACGTACTCATTTCTCCTTTCTCCTCTTCACCCCTCTTCATTCCCTCTGCACATCTCCCTCCCTACCTCCACAAAGCGCTTTGGTCACCTGCACTGAGATACCCCCACCATAAAGTGCTCATCACCACCAACACAGAAGGGGCTTAGACCTCACCAAGACTGGCACAGTCATTTTTTCTAACTCTTGTTTAATGCAAACATGACCCCAGCCACCAAGACCTGTCTGTCTGCCTGCTCCCAGGTATTGCACACCTGTCTGCCTGCTCCCAGCTACTGCACACCAGAGGAGCAGCTCAGACAACCATCCCTCACATAACAGATGAGATAAGTCTGTGGCCAACAGTCTGAAGTGCAGGCTTCTGCTAAGGCAGCTGACTTTGGCCAAAGCGAGTTGGAGAGCCCTTGCATCAGCTTATCCATGCAGTCCTGATGGAGCAACACCCATTCAGACTAGGAGGTTGTTACTTCAGTAGCTGCAGGCTTTGCATCCCTCATGCCCACACTGACAGGTGAGGAACTACAATGTGAGAGGGGTGATGAGAGTTGAGAAATGTAAAAGGAAGAGCCAACCTCCCCTGGATTTTCAGGGCCAAAGCCAGAAGAGTATTTAGTAGTGTATACTAAAAAATATGAGAAACCCATGTTCAAAGGGGTGGAAGTAAGAGCTCAACTTCAAGGCAAACACTGCAAATTGAAACAATTATTCAGTGCTGAAATCAAAGAAAATTATCCCGTCGCATTTTACCCTTCTGAGCAGATGAAAAGCTCTCAAGGAGAACATTCCCTTCAGTTTCTGTCCTTAAAAAAATAAAGTAAAATATTAAGAGACATTCTAAACCCTGAGTTATCTCTGTAATGGTACAAGTGGTAAGATTAACAGCAAGAATTAAACCACTTCATTATTATTTAATTGCTTTTAAAAATATATTGCCTTAATATTTATAGTTGTACCGTTCAGATTAATAACCCTGATTTTCCACCTCCCCACCACAAACCATTTCTCACACTCACCCAACTTCCACAGAACTTCACAAAGCGAAAACTGAAAATACATCTCGAAGACTTCTGATGTAAAAAGGAACGACACTGTGTGCTTCCATAAATTTAGGTTTATTTCAAATTCAGCTCTCAGGTTACACTGTACATGAAACACAGGCAATCCTGTAAGCATTCGGGATTGGCAACGTTCATTAAGCCCCACTAAATTCCTCACGATGATGACAATGTGCCAGTTAAACATGGACTCTAAACTTAAGTGAACTGGAGAGACAAAGAAAAAACAACACAAAACAAAAGTAGCAAGGAAGAAGATGCCTATGGTCTGTTAGGAAAACGCAATCCAGAGCTATACCCTGCCTAAAGAACAAGTGGCCCAAAAGTCTCCTGGATCCTTCAAATTCCAATTTCCAGGCTCAGACCCTCTTTACGAAAGTCACAAGCCAGATCTTTGCTGTTACCCAAACCGTCCCTCAGGATTTATTGGCAAAATCCCACTAATCCAACCAAACCTCCTGCTGCTGCCAAGATAATTTTGTGACTATTTGTAAAGCTAATCAACCAAAATAGTATTTTCATCCCAATAATGTTAAGCCATAAAGGCTGGAGTATGTTGGCCATCAACTGTTGACGCTGCACTCAAATTTGCTGAAAGTGTTGAATGTTGGCAGAATATTTCACCCTTGGATTAAGCCCCCACAGCCTCTCCTTAGCACCTTCAGGCATATGTTTGACCAGTTGCTCTAGTGAGTCCTAACACCACTTGAAAGAGAATCTCTTCATTAGCTGCTTCTGTACAGATCCAAGCACATGCCTGCATCCACACACTGGCTTCAGCAGCATCATCTGCAGCACAGGAAGTTGAATGTACACAAAGGTTTTCACAACCCAGTCTTAAAATGCCTGAAAACAAAGCTGGCAAAGCAGTGCAAGATGAAAGAGTTATCTCTGAGAGACTCCCAGGTAAATAAACCTGAGTATCAGTTTGGACCTCAGAACACCAGCCTGTCACAGCAGGGAAAAGCATACACATAACTCTATGCAATAACAGTGTTTCAAATGTTTGCCTCTAAAACCTGACAAAGTTTTACACTTGTTTCTTAAATAAAGGCTTTTTATTTTAAAAAGTTATCAAATATCTGTGCACAGTTCATAGTCAAATGTCTTTATTTTGAATTGGTTTCATTCAAACTCAGACATTTCACTAATTTCAGTTTTATACATTTTTTCTTTCAAAATCCCACAAGGTAAAAAAAGCAACCCCAAACACACACACACAAATACAGGAAACTGTATTTCAAGGGCTTTCTTTTTTTCCCATGTCAAGAAGTGCAATTTTGCTTCTATGGTTCTTTAAACAGTTTTATTCATCAGTAAAACAATGCACTACACTAAGAATTGCACCAGATACCTTAGAATATCTTGTGTATCAGCTATACCTAACTTCTCCTATGCACTGCTTAGGGTTGTGAGAAATCTGTATGAATTACACTTATAGTAACTCGAGCTTTACCAGTATAGGCAGGTCAGCAAATGTACATACACTCTGTGAAACTGCCTAGGACTGCTGGAGAATGGAAGTCAATTATATCTACAATTACACCAGTGAAATGTTTACATTTACAGTAACTATCTTGCTTTTGCATACAAAGGTATGCTCTGCTTCAAGCCACTGAGACTGTATCATTATATTGCAAGCCTATCACAGGAATACATTCCCAAAAAAAATCCGTAACACAGAACTCTGTTTAGTCTCACTGAACGTGATTCCACACATCCTTCTGGCCCCACTTAAAACAACTGCACTAGTCCCTTTTTTTCTGCCCCCTCCAGCAGAAGCATGTTAACTCTGGGGGAATTTCACAAAGAACTTGGCTTTGGCTTAGTATTTCCTTCACTCTAAACTATGAACCATGTAAACTATGCTACTGGCTTTGGAAGTGTTTTCAAAAGTTTTCTAGATTGACTCTTCACCATTCTGAGAAAACAAGAATATTGACAGATCAGGCTTTTACTGACTCTAGGAACAAGGTTCCTCATGACTTCATTTCCTTCCATCTGCAGCTGAAAGACACCCTCTACATCTTATCATTTGTCATGAAAAAACAGAAGTTGATTCCCTTTAGGATCTTCAAAAAGACTCACGTTTTACTCCAATTTGCTCAGGTTTTCCATTGCAGAGTGCTGTTTTATGCGATGAAGTAGGAAACACCTGAAGTTTTAAGTATTCACTTTGGAAAAGACGTACCTGCTTTGAGACAGGAGACTGACTAAACCTACTGAGGAGGCCTCTTATATTTTAGCATTTAAAACTACAGGGAGAAGAGTCAAAGTTTATACTTAAATGCACAAACATAGGACTGCTTTCTAAGCTGAAACTGTTTCAAAACTTGAAATAAAATTCTTCAGTGTCTGTTGAATCAAACAACAAAAGTTAAAGCTTACTTAACCACTTCATTCTTACAACCACTATTTTACAAAGGAAGATCTTCAAACCTAGAAACAACACAGGGGCAAGCACAGCAAGGACATGGATGGTGATAGAAAGGAACTAACAAACCAGCCTGGAACAACTACGTCATGTAACTCAGTTGCAAATGACACACTGGGAAGTGTAATTCCTATTCTGATTTTTACTTACAGGTACAGACCTACAGTATAAAAACATCTAGCTTCTTAAAAAAGATGAACTGAGGAGCCTGACAGGACTATTTCATGCCCACAGAGACTACACTGAGACACCAGAATAAAAACTGCAACAAAGTTATAGCTTGGTCTTTCAGTTTAGTCCCTCCATCTCTATGTAACTATCCATCCTCTAGCATTTTGTCACATAATGGTAGGCATAAATCATTACAACATCAGTATCTACCCCAGAAAACCTTATATGAAATGGATGGACAAATCTTTATACAAAGACAAGTATTTTAGAATTTGGAATGAAAAAATACAGAGCAAAAAAACCCCAAAAAAGAGTTCTGAAAAATAGTTTACATAGAAAAACCTCCCCGAAGTAAAGAGAGGGATTATAAAGATAAGCTATGGTGCTAAGAAGTGGTTGGACTAATAACAGGCTATTTCCCTCGCAGAGGTTTACACGTTTCACACCAGCATTTTGCTTTATGTTGTTACAATAGCTTTATGGAGCATTATTTAAAAATAGCATTTCAGTCAGAAACCTAATTCAGAGTTCATCATGTTTTACCCTAAACGGCCACTTGGAATGCTGTGAAACATGATTTGCAGCCAGAAGCACCAAGTACATAAATTCTTCCACATCAAAGGAGTAGTTCGTAAATTTTGGATGCTCTCCCAGTGTTGGGTGGTGTCCCTGGAAAATGAAATAAGGCCTTTTAGATAGGAAAAAACATCTTCCATTAAAAAAGCAAGAAAAATACTTGAGCATCTGCCATTTTAATTTATTATTTCTTATCTGCTGAGGCAAAAGAGTCAGCAAAGTAACTGCGTAAGAGATGCTGTGGATGGCTTGAATTAATGGCCAATTCATTTCATTTCTCTTCTTCCCTCAGCCATTAATATAAATGATCTCTTAATCACAACAGGGAAGTTAATTTGGTGTAAAGAATGAAAACCATATTTCAAATATTGTAACGTAGATAGGTGAAGGAAGCTAAATGTTAAATGCTTCAAGTTACAGCATGCCACCCTTCAGCAGTGGCCATCATTACCTGATCTTGAGGAAATACTTTATTCCTTTTTCGCCAAGTGATGTAGTGAATGCCTCTCAGCCTTGCCAAATCCAGGTAACAACGTTCATCTTCACAGTTGTATCTAGGGACAGGCATAAAAAAAATCATATTTATCTACAGAGATTGTGCTGAAGTTTACCAGGGTGGAACAGGAAAAAAACCTGCAAGCCAAAATATTTGTTGTCCAGTTCTAAGGCACTGAAGCCATGGACAGTTTCTGCTCTGCTGAAAACAAGGGGCTTCAAGCAGAATTTCCCAGGACAGATAATTCAGTGCTCTTATGACAAATATCCTATATTTTTGTTTCGTTCTATAGAACTGGAATGCCTGTTAACATCCACAATTTATAACAAAGTACATTTAAAAATGAAGCTACTAGAGAAGTTTAGGTAAAAGAGAATGACACACAGCTGAGCTTGGCCAGCAAGCTGGTGCTCATGTCCTGAGCACAGAAAGGAGTATATAAATAACCCTCAGTGGGATCTGTAATGCCTTGGGCATGTACTTCATGCAATCAGTTTTACCTGGGTCACCAAAATACTATTATATTTCAGACTCACTGGGCAGGATCTGACCACTGAGGCTTTCTTGCTTTTTGCCATTTAACCTCCATGATTGTTGACCAGGCTGCACTGTATTTATACCACAGCATCTTAAGAAATCACAGACTAAACCTGTATGATATAGTTACACTATACTTTGTAATCAAAGCTTCCTCACTTTCAATCCCCAGAAGAGGAGGCTGCCAAAAATGAAGTCTGGGTGAGCACCTAAGGCAAGCATTGATAGTCAAATACAGGCAAGGAAGAGTGCTTCATTAACACGTAAGAACAGACATAAGCAGTTGTGTAATAGGGGGGAAAGAGAGAAACAAACTTACAGTTCAAAAACAACAGCCCAGTCTGGTAGAAACAGCAAATGGGTAAGTCCAGCTCCATGCATCCCAATGAATATATCAGAGTTGTGGGTAATCCTCAACTGCTCTGAAAATTCAAGTTCCCTGCAGACAACACAACAAAGATGGTGACCTGGCATGCCTGCCCATCTCAGCAAGAGTCAGTGACATGCAGAAAGAAGAAAATTAACTTAAGGGAATGCTGAAAGATAGAATTGATTTTTCAAGGAACAACACCAAGAATCATAAATGCTGCATCCAGACAAAAACTCAGCACAGAATTAAAACAAATGCAGGCATGTTTCAAAACTTCACAAGAGTTTTCCAAAAATTTGAGGGTTTTCTTTAAAGTTTTTTCAAGATTGGGGATTTTTACTTTTTTTTTTTTTTAAAAAGAGGCATCACCTCCTATAAAACCCCCCCAACAACTCAACATAAAAGACCTAAACTTTTTTAATGTAATGTAGAGGTACACAATTCATAATCGTATCACAGGATTCTGCCTAAAGATGTCGATATCCAACCTTAACTTATGCACAGTGCATCAAGAAGAAATAAGGAGACCAGGCTTTTTTCAGCTCCTGGAACTGTCACTCTCTCTCATCATTTGCCTGTAAACTCCAAATAAAGCATTCTCTTTATATGACCAGGTGTTCCCTGAGTGCACAAGAAAATGGACTAAAGACACTTGATTGTTAAGAGAGACTGACAACAGCAAAGGGAAATTACAACATGCTTCATTTGGGTATGAACACTTCATACATTGAAAAGGAAGAGAATAATGTCCCCTGACTATTTGGAAGACAGTAGAAAGAAACTGGCTTAAACAACACGGTTCTTAGCTACTTAAACTGCTACAAGGGCAGACATCAGGGAAACCCTCCTAACCATGACAGTGATGCCACAGGAGAGCTGTGGAAATCTGCAATACCGAAGGGTACTACACACAGTTTGACAAGCATGGGAGTTGTGGAAGTACTACTTGGCCAAGCTTTCAAGTAGGATGGCCTAGATGGCTTCTCAGTGGTGTCCACCCCTTTTCTTATTATAGTGCTCAAGTGCCTTCATTGACAGGGGAATTGGAGGCAACTCTTGACTCCCTCACATTGTCACTGCTTTGGTCAAAACACCCATCTCTCAGTGCAGCTTTAGTTTCTCATGCCTCCTGCATGACCCATGACAGCATCATTGAGTGGATGGGAGCTGCTGTCATTTGGCACAGGCATACATCACTTGGAAACTTTTTCTTCAAGCCATTTCTTGCTGACACAGTGCCTACTGCACTGAGCATCACAAACTGACCTCAAGTGGTGTTTTCAGGGGCTACTACAGCAGCAAATAAGCTCAGTTATTATTCATTACCAAACTAACAGTCATATAATATAAAACACTACTTTCATACAAGAGAAATCCCTGTTGGACCCATAGTTACTGCAGGGCATTAGCAAATTCAGAGTGATGGAAACACAGCTGGTTTGGGGAGAGGGGAGGAAACAAGAAGAAAAGTGATTTCAAACTTGTTCATCACATAGTAGCTTTAACCTGAGCCTATGAACCCTAGAGACTCATTCCTAAGCAGTGCATCACAGGATGGGAGTGTTTAACTAGTTCACCCACCACTCCCTGAATGACATTCTTCCTTTCTTTCCAGTTCTTGGATTTTTAACAGGTTAGACACTGGGGCACATACAGCTTTGCCTGCAAACAGCTTTCCTCAGCAATAGGCAGCATGAGATCACACTAGGTTGTTCTGTCAACTTACGTACTTGTATTTGTAGTCTACCACTTTGACCTCCAGCGTTGATACTGTTTTCAAAGCATTCACAAGCTAAGGAAGAGAATAAAAAGACAATGATTTGGTGATCTTCAATGAACTCCTCCCCTGCACTCCTGACTATCTTACACACTCCTCCTGCCCAGCCGGGAATGAAAAGGAGCGAGACAGAACATACTGTCACTGCCACATAAAGTAGAAGTTCCCCTCCTCTTGTGCCTTCCCACCTAAGATACACAAGTTATTCTTGACAGAGCAACCCCTGGAGAGCAGATGCAGATATCCTGCACTCTCACAGAGAGCTTCTGTTGAGCTTTACATGCTCCAAGACCCAATCCTAAACCACTCAGACTAGGAGGAGCAGTGGGAAGATGTGCTTGGATTTCCAAAATATATTCCAATACCTAAAGAAGCAAATTGGTAGCTAAGAAGGATTTTCAAAAATACCTTACTAGGTCAGACTCGTACACATGAGAAGTGAAACCAGGTTAGAGCCAGGCTTTCCAACCTAAAATGGCTTTCTGTAAATCACCAATCCATAGCCAGCAGTAGAGAGAGAAAGAGTCAAGTATTCTTTCTCTTACAAAAGTGTAGTAAAGGTAGGACTAACGTCTCCCTTTCTGTCATGTGCTTATCACCAGAAAACACAATACATGTAGCTCTGTGGACAGTCAAGCAGATAAGGCACACATCTAGCCATTTGCAAGCTGCCTGTTCTACCACTAAGCTATTGCATCAAACAGGCCTCAATTTCTCCCCCCATACAGTGGGGAATGATAATCCCAATTCGTTTTTGTCAGGCACTAACAGCTAAGAATGAAGACAGGTATGAAAACATTAGATTTTATCATTTTACCATAAGAGAAGCTACACCACAAGCCCACTAAGTTGTATGATTCAAAAACATGAATCAATATGAAATTTCATTAAGTTTTGAATGCACATACTCAGATACAATAGCTTCTGCATTTTAATCTGCAAGCATAACAAAGGTTTTTGTTAGAGTCGTCAGTACTGGGGATGCTATAAATACACGAGATAGTCTGAAAGTGAAATAATTTAATTTTATCAGCAGCTCTGCAGTGCCTGTTTGTTAAAGGGAAATGCTTTTAGTATTACATCTGTAGCCTTCTATTGGATACTTAAAAAAGGGCAGCAAGGTTCTGTGTCTTGTATACAGAAACAGAGACTTGCTAGAAGACATAGTAGAAGAAATTAATATTAGCACTGAACATATTTGCCTAAGATTTGTCAGCAGACAGATGTCTTGGCTACACCCCTAGAAAAAAGAAAAAAAATCAATTCAATGAGCAAAATACAACTTCTGATAAATGTTTTAAAAATAAAAGGGACCCCACCTCATCCTGGTTTAAGATTTTCCGGTAATCTGTGCTGCGTGCAAGTATTGTGACTCGGATTTTCCCATCCTAAAAAGAAAGGAGCTTCAGTGTACTGCTATGAGGCAGACTCCAAACACTTCCATATTTACTTCTGGTAGTTATTTGAGCAACATAACATGTCCCTTCTCCATGTAACAGATGATGTAACCACCTTAAAATTCACATCGTATTTTCCAACAGATGTCAAGTGTCAAAAACTTTGCAAAAGTCTGACTATTAACAAAGAATAAAACATCTTCTGAAAGATTTGTTTTATTCAGTACAAAACAGCCTTTGTATTACTCATTATACAGAAGTTTTTTAAAGTAGGGAAGCAGCTTTTAAGATGGCTTGTGCACACAATCTTTGGGAAAAAATATTTTACTTCTGTAACAGTTCCTCCTTTTTCCTCTTTAAATTAATTGGACTCATAGGGGTAAGTGTTCCAAGTGAAATAAAGAGATTTAACGGCATGACTCCCATTAGCATCAGCAGGAGAAGCATAACTAAATGCCTGTGTAGTGCTTTGAATGTGTGCCCCTCAGCGATAATACATAGGCTACTCTCTAGCAAACACTTCTAGAAGCTCAGAACTGCTGTATCTACCAATGCAGCCATTGCAACAATTTGCCGAGACTAACAGTGGGTGCAAGAGAGATGGACAGAGAGATGGTACTGGACAAGGGTCAGGACTAGATTCAACCACTGCCTTCTCTGATCCAAGCTCAGCAGTACCTACAAGGATTGGTGAGACACTGGAATGGGTTGCCCAGGGAGGTTGTGAATGCTCCATCCCTGACAGTGTTCAAGGCCAGGCTGGACGAGGCGGCCTTGCGTGGCATGGTTTAGTGTGAGGTGTCCCTGCCCATGGCAGAGGGGCTGGACCTAGATGATCTTAAGGTCCTTTCCAACCCTAACTATTCTATGATTCTATGAGGAACAAGCTCACTGCATTGCTCAGTGGGATCCCCTCTTGCTGGACTGCAAGGACAGCACCTTGTCAGTCTGCTCCAGAAGAGACCATGTGCCACACATCTTGCATAACTAGGAAGGACACAAAGGCCTTGGGACCAGAGAATAGAGACTGGGAAGAGATCCCAGGGTTGGAAGGAGGATGTTCTAAAGTCTGTCCTATGTAAATAAGACACAAAGGCAACTTTCACAAACATACACAAGTGTTTGCCTTCACAGAACAGATTGATATACTGGAAAAAAAAAAAATCACAAGCATCACGGGAAAGGACAAGAAGTTCACAATATGCTCTTATTTCCCCACTGGGTCCAGCTGGCTAATGCTATTTCTCTGGTAAAAGCCATCAGCTCCATGTTACAACTTTATTATTCAGTTACCATACCTTGGGTCCTTCTTGTGTGATATTTAATCTGTGTAACACATGCTGAGAAAATGCTCTAAACAGCCCCGTACCATGACAGCCAGAGATCTGAAATTTAAAAAAAGCAATTGTTAATGCAAAAATTTATTTTGCTCAGAAAAACCTCTTTGTGACCAGTCTTTCGCCATTCTTGTGAAACAAAAACCCAGTATCATGCACTGTGCTAAACATGGCAGTATTCATTGTAACGCAAGTGAGACTTCCATTTAGGAAGAAGCACAACTCTCTCTACAGTGTTAGAGCCTGAATGCATAAGCTAATACCCTCAGGAAAGTCTGTCACTGTGCAAGCTCTTGTGCTCTGCAAAAATACCAGTAAGTTCACAGTGCCCACCCATTAAAGAGGAATAATAACACATCTCATGAGCTGTGACACAGGACATTGCATACAAGCAGTTACTATCAACCAGCTAACATAACTTCAAAATTCTAATCTTTAGGGAAGAGCATCTCATTTGGAGCTGCACAGACCTTCAATGCAGTACATGGCATAGTAACTCAGCTAGATACTTGAGGGTTTCATTAGCTCAGATTTTATACTGTCACACATGCACCTAGTTAACACAGTGGAGACATAAAAAAGACTCACCAGTGGTGTGTTATAAAACAAGCCATATCGCATTCGAGGCAGTAATGAGAAGACTGCTTCTTTAAAGCATACCTGCGAAGGAAGATCACAAGAAGTTACACTGCACTGCTACCTTCCGCTGGCACATTCCAGGCTCATTCAGTGGGATCACTGCTTATAATGAGATAGCAATTACATGCTTCTGTCAAGAGCACCTTCACTTCCTTGATTGTGCAAATGAATAGAACAAAGACAACCCTGATCCCAAAAGAGCCCTCACTTAGGATATAAGTGTGGGAAGAGGTGAAAAAAAACACCCCAAGATAGAACAAACATGAATGAAATAAAGAAAACCAGTTAGAGAGTAAAGAGTTTAAGGCAGGCTTTAGGAGACTAAAATGAGCTCTGAATGAACGGTTACTTTAATGAAAGGTATTAAATGAAAGGTATTAATGCTTTTTTCTGAAACACCCATATCCACAAGCAGCTTGAGAAGCTGTCCTATTTGCTACCTAATGACTGAATGAAAACAGAATATAAAATTCCATACCCTTTTAGAGTCAAAGGTTTTCAAGTGTATTATTTCATAGTTGGTAAATGCCTTCCAAGTCTCACTGAACAGGTCACCATAGCCATATGAGCTCTAGGAAAAAAAGGGAAAAAACATAAGGGCATAATTAATATATAAATGCACATGAAAACTCTCTTCATGATTTACAAGTTCTGCATACAAGTTTTAATACACAGTTATTATACCTAGTCACCACCACGGGACCAGAGACAGCACAGAACAGACATTACAGAACACCAAAGCCTGCATTTACAATGGTAGTTAACTCTAATTACCTGTCAGGTAGTTAATTCTTAATAAAATGCTTTTATAAATTAGCAATCTAGACAAGTTTTCAAGCAGTGGATTAGAATTTGAGTTGGGAACAAGAAGTACCTGCTACTTTCCTCAGACACAACAGAACACAAGTTAAATTTCAATTAACAGCCACATAGGGATGGTAAAAGGCATGAACCTCAACTCCCGAGACTGAAAAAAACACCTGGGAATTCAAGTGCTGCAGTAATGTTTGAAGTCAAAAGTCACAATGAGCCTATTTCACCTTTGCCTCTGTTTTGGGACTGTCACTTGCATATTGTATATGGATCACAAATTGAAGGAAATTAACTGATTTGATGTAAGAAATGGCCAGGAAACTATGTTTTGCATTACTCTGACAAGCTACTGAGAAGTTTCTCTACAGGGCAGTATAAAAATTCCCCCCTCTGCAGCAAAGGTCTTTTAAGAACCATCTACTTCCTACAACACTGGCCCAGCAGTAGGGGCTCTTGCCTTCAAGTTTGTAACACTTCCTACACACCCAAGGGCCAAGAGTCACCATATCTTGTTCTTTGAATGCAACTAAGTATCACCTTGGTAGTCCTGGTGCAGATTCTCACTTAAAGCTTCCTTTTGACTCTGGAGCTGGTTCAGGCTACTTGGAAAGTTATGTGGAAAGTTGGGTGGAAACACACATTTGAAATTAAGACTACAAATGACCACAGATGATCTTCCAGATTAGAAGTAGAGACCTAATCTTTGTTTAGCCAGAGTTAAACAAAGCAGAAAATGAGTAGGAAATCCACTGGGTGTTGGCTTGCAGGCTGCCTCTGCAAGAGCAGGAGAGCAATGCTTGTAAAAGCATTTTTAAAGAGAGCAGGTAAGGTTGGAAAGTAATACTTTCAGCTTTGAAAATCAAGTCTCTACTTGTAATTTGGAAGATCACCTGCGATCATTCATAGTCTTAATTTCAAATGTGTACGGCCAAATCTAATTACATAAAGAAAAAGAGGGAATGACTAATAAGCTCAAGACCATCTTTCAATCAGCATGGACAGTTCAGCAGCAGTTAGCTGGTGCCATCATCTGGTTGTACATGGTAATGAACTCAAGCAGTCTGATGAGTTAGAAGACTCTTAAAATGATAGAGCATTGTGACATATACTTTGAATGCTACATTTGAAAGAACTATTTGATTCAACAGTGTGCTACAAGACCAAAAGTTGCTTCACAATGCATTTGACATCTGACTTTTTCAGAAAGGTATCAGAGCCAGATTAACAGGTCCCTGCATAACATCTAGAGAGCCTGCTTTTCTGGCAAGTGCATTTATTTTAGCTTTCAAAATGTAAGACAATTAGAAAAGGGGGTCACTTCTGGGTTTCTCATTAAATAGTGAGCAGGGGATATCTGCAGTTTTCTGCTGAATATTAGTTGTCCTACCAGTAAATACTCAGAAAGAAAACTTAGGATTTTATGAGAACAAGACAGGTGGGGGACAATACCATAGTCTGGAACTGTGCTATTTCTGGTCCCTATTACACATGTTATGTGGCATATTTCAAGTTGCCTAGTTTGTTATTTAGTTTAACCCCAGTTTGTTATTTAGTTTAACACCTTAAATACTGGCCAGTAAAACTAGTATTAAACAGTCATGGTTTCAAATCAGCAGTACAGCAGAAATAGCCCTACTTAAAAACTTCTTTTATATGTCATCGTGACATCTTAAGAGGCGATTGAGAGAAACAACTGCAAGAAGGCTATTTAAAGGAATTAAGTATTATACTCTGTTTTAATATATATATACAAGGATTTAATTTGGTTGTTTTCTCCATTACAGGTTGCATATTACTGATTCAGAAAGATGGCAGGCAGCTTTTCTTTTTAAATACAGAAGAAAGTTTTGAGTAAAGCTACTTCAAAACTCTCAGAGAAAAGAAGCGTACAGAAAACAGCATGAAATGTTCAAAAGCCACGTACTGGGAATACAGGTCATGTTATGTTTGAGATCACACCAAAAAAAGGCATAATTATGTACTAGCAAAAGATGAGCTACGAAGTAGTGTCCAAACAGCACATGATTTATTGTGGAAAGTCTGTTCCCCAAGTATTGTTTATGCACCTGTATTAACAGGATCCAAAAACTTACCAGTTCCACATGGCTAAGCCCACAAGAAAGCTAAGGACTGGCTACTAAAATCTTCAGTCTCTATAAAGCAGAAATACAATCCATTGCAAACACATTAGAACCACAGATGACTTACGGTGTCCCACATGACTATGTTGACATCAGTACTGAAGGAATTATTGATATGCTGTGTGATATAAAGATTGACGAAATCACAGAAGTGATGATACATATTAACACCTGGAAAAGAAAGAATTGTTAGCAAAATACACATTACTCCCTCCACTTTTAACTAGTTCATGCATTTGTTCCTTATTAGTGTCCTGCATTTTATATTACTTTTCCCTTGCTTCTGACTGAATGCTTTTTATACACCCTAAAGAGGGAAACTTCCAAAGGGAAAGAATTGAGGTAAGAAACCTTTTTAAACCTGTTTTTAAAAAGTACAGGGAAATAGAAGAGTGGCAAAAAACAGCATAAGAAAAATAGTTTCACAAGCTATTTCTCATTACAGTCTGCAGCTGCTTGCTGAAGTATATGAAAGCAACTTCTCCTTTAACAATAGCTAGTTAGACATACAGGAAACACTAAAAACAGCCCCTCGGCACTGATCTTAGTGTTGCTTTACTAGGCTTAAGGGAAGCTCTGTCTGCAGGACTACAAGATAGAACTTGTACTTACACATGAGCCAAAGCCCAAGTAATTCCTCAGTTTTTCTTCTCAGAGCATTCTCGTTCATTCTTGGTTTCTTAAGCTAATACCTTAAGACCATGGAGCATAAAAACTACCATGAAACAGAGGAGCTAACATAGTCCAGTTTTCTTGGTAGTGAAGACCAGATCTCAGGTTTGGAACCATGTGTACACAGTCCCTGTTTCTAAGCTTCTGACCAAAAAGAGCTGCTATGACAGGAATCAGCTGCCTTTACTGCTCACACTGCAATGTCCCCTGCCTCCCCTAAAACAACGGAGCTGAGCACAATCGCCTCCCAAGTCACACCTAGACCACCCTGCTCAAAGGTACAAACTGACAGCACAGCAACGCTTCCCCAGTAACTGCTCAGAGGCCTGCAGCAACTTTGCTTAAAATATAAGACACTGGCTTGCAGGGAAAGGGGGGGTAATGCAGTTCACAGCTGCAGTGTGTCACAGGCAGCTATCCAGTTTAACCACAGTTTACCTACAGCAGCTTGTTTGTATGTCTAAATGCTGAACATCCTCTTTCATTAACATATATCTGCAGAATATGCTGCATGAACAAAAAGGCTGGCTCCTAAAGATGCTTAGGTGCTGCCCCTCTCTGAATATCACTTCCTCTTCCATAACACTCAATACACAGAGAATCCTCAATTCCTGAACACTTACAACAAAACACATATACCCATGCTTATGTTCCATGGTATAAAACCTAACTGCCTAAATCAAAGGCTATGCTAAAGAATCTTCTGTACATCAAGTAAAAGAATGCCAAAACAAAGCCAGGAGAATGTGTGAGACAAGTGGCACGAACTTTTTCTCTTTTGTTTAATTTTATTTTATTCATTTGTGGGGAAATGTAAAAATTCTAAATTTCAGCTTTCAAGTTCATCAATGGAACTACAGGAAAAAAAAAGGGAATTAAAAAAATCACATCATTTTTCAAACATAAAAATATATTACAAATGAACTTAAAGGCATAATGTAGATGGGCAAGATGGATATGGGCTATTTTTACTGCATGAAGATACCAATTACCTGCATCTAATTTCATGAAGTATGTTGGCTTTTCAATAACAACGTCACACTTCCCATCTTCTAGAGGCCTGAAGTTTAATGCAGTAAATGTCTGGAGTTCTGCAAACCTACAAAGATTTAATCACATAGAACATGCTTTGTCATTAACATACTTAAACAAATGTACTTCATCTAAGTACATCTAAGATTTAGTAACTGTTCATCCAGTCCATTTGATTTAACAGGGCTGCTGAAAACTGATAGAGTCTGACAATTAAAATGATTTGAAATTGTAATGGAAGGTTCTTCAGGTTATAAGCTTCAAGAGGTTAAACACCACCCTTGATCTCAGGAGTGAACAGCGTTTTTGATCTACAAATCAAGGCAGTAGAGATATAACAAAGAGCCGTAGAGCCAAGATCTGTGGGTATAAGCAACTTGATCTGCATTGCCAAAGACACTTCAGCAAGATCTTCATGCTTTGGTCAGAATAATGAACGTAGATGCAGTATTTATTATTCCTGGATCTAAACAAGGATGAGCAGTTGAGATGACAATAGCAGGTAAAAGAAAAGTCTTTTCCTCCAGTGCCGCTATTCTTAACTGAAACTGACCAACAATGCAAAAAGAGGGGGAAAAAAATTAATTCTTATATAGACCTTAATGGCTTCAACTCCTCCATGTGTCATCAATTAACTGGCAATGCAGCTTTGAAGTGCTAACATGCAACTTGTGATACTTCATCACCTACTACAAAGGACCCTCTGCACTTCCTACTCAGCCTGTTGACTGTTGCCCATTTCACACTTCAAACACAGGCTCCTTAGGAGCACCACGTGAATGTATATCCAGACCAGGCACTGCTGTGGCCCCAGTGTCATCAAAGACCGTGTGAACTAGGACACAAGTGCAAACTTCAAGACATTTCACAACAAAACAATTGCCTCCTCCTATAAGCAGATCAGGCATAGGACCAGCATCTTGTCCAGAAAACACCTGAAGGTTTGAATTTCAAATTAAAAGACATTTTCAGATCATTTGCTGCTGTCAATTAGGCAAGACACAATTACACATAGCATATTTCAGAACATTTTGCATAAATGTAATTACCCAAGGTATCGAATATGAATACTCAAACTGACCTTAGAAAGGAACAACTGTTTCCTCAGCATGAAATCCCTTACACATAGCTGCTAACACCAATGAAAAAGAATAAAGAATTACTAAGAGAACTTGGAAGCAGCCTTGACAAGTGATTCTTACCAAGACTGCAGAGGGCTCTTGCGTTGACCTTCAGCCAAAAATGCCTTAACGTCAAGGGTGCAGTGACCTCCAATTTCTCCCTTCTGTAAAAAGTCTTCTTTGAATCTAATGCCAATTAATAAAAGTCTATTAGCTTTTGTGCAACAGTGCTACAAGTACTCTGTGATCTCAACCACATACTCCATTCAGCTAAGTGCTTCATACACATTTAAAACCTCAGTATTTTCTTTAGCATATATCCCACAATTCCCAAATAAAGACAGTGGTGTCCTTTGAGTTATACACATCAATTTAGAAACCAGCACTAATCTATCCAGAATGTTATTAGGAATCATTTTTACATACAAAAATGAGTAACTTAATTAGGTATTTCTACATGATTACTTACAGGAGCATCATTAGTTGTTTGAGGGGAGGGGGGTTGTTTGTTCTTAACAACAATTCCTCACTGAAATTCACCTCAGATTTCACAACCCATGTCTTCACAACATAAGAGTGAAGTGCAAGACCAGGTTTCATGAAAACAAACTGCCAACTACAAGCGCTGTCAAGATCAAGAAAGGATGTGACTGAGGACATAGAAAAGTTTCTTCCATCAGAGGAGAGGATTTCAATCACCCATCATCATTCCATAAAACTGGGAGCTTAGGTTTTTAAATAACCTGCACTGCTGATAGCAGCAGCAGATAGCAATCATGAGGTGTAGATCTCAACAGGAGCTCAGCAACAAGTCTCTGATCAGCAGTAAAGCCCATGGCAACAAGCACACTACTTTGCTAAACAAATTCTGAAGTCCCTTCCCCTGCCATCCCCTGGTTTTACTATAACAAAAGCAAATCAGAGACCTGTCGTGGTTCCTCTTTACAGTTCGTAAGTCAATGTACAAGTTTGTGGCTCTGCAATGCTGAAGGTACTGAGAACAGGTCAGAGATGAATCTCCCTGTTAAGAAAAGCAGCAGGAGGATTTAGTCAGTGACAAAAATTACATGTAAAATCAAGTGAAAAGTATCACATCTATTAGAAATACCTACTGTTGCTGCAGGCTTACAATGGGTTTTCATTTCATTGAGCCTCTCTCGAATGTAACCAAAGTCAGCTTGTTTCCAGAATATCTGTTGGGCTGTCTCAATGTCACTTGCCCTGATATATGAAGGAGAGAGGGAAAAAAAAAACAAAAACCAAGGTCCATTGCTCAGTTCTAGTAATAATTTTAACAAATAACATTTTTCCTGCTGAAAGTGAAACAGAAGAACCAGCCAGTTGCTTTATTGACATGTAAAATGCAAAACAGGAAGCAATTCGCCAGCTGTCTGTTAAGTGAAAACATCAATGACAATTTAAAGCTACTCTCCCGTAAAAGGGTATAAAATGTTTTTTAACATTTTTCCCTCTGCTTTTAAAGCTAAGAAAGGAAATACACAGTTATTTTCAGAATCTGAATTCAAGGCTAAATCAGAATAATGAAAACATTGTGGCAAGAAGCATTTCAAATGGTATTTTCTTCCTTAGAAAGTTAAATCTTTCATGCCATGTTGAAAGACATCTGTTATGTATAAACACACATGTATGTACACACACATATCCACAAAGAATCATCCTTTAAACTCTAAACATCACAGTAACGCTCATTTCACAGCTAATCTGAATGTGGGTGCTACACTGGGTTTTTTATACCTTGAAAATGAAACTTACCATCCAGTTTCAACATAATCACACACTGGGTAACTGAACCTGTGATCTGACTTACAAGATTTCTCATAACCCCAGCAGGATTTTAGCTTCTTCAAGTTTTTCTGTAACACAGAATGAGTGAATCAGGTTACACAACAGTAAAATGGAAAATGACTTAAATTGGTTGTCAGCTTATAAACTACCTCTCGCTAATAAATCTTGCATAAAAGGCTTTCAGTTTGGTCTGTTCTCAGTTTCAGAAAGAACACTCAGATTCTTTATGCACAGCCATGCTCCAAAGAGGACACATGCGAACAGCAAAATTATCCTTGTCTTTAACGTGTCTATCCCAGGACAAACACCTTTCCTGACCCAGTAGGTAGGAGTCCACATCACTGACAGATACAGATAACAAAGTTAAGCTTACACAAAGTACAGTGCTCCAAGCTCCAGTTTGTGTGTACCATTGCTCCCTAAGCAAATCTGTAGACATGGTCTTCTGCAGTGCTGTAGGAAGCCAGAGAAGGGGAGCACAGCTCCGACCCTTAACTCTGCAAAGCAGCTCCAGTCTGAGAGACACAAGAAGTGCTCCCAGGCCACACGTAGTCCAGATCCTCAGGTTCACTGTCCCTGCTTCAGGTAAATGAATTACATGCAACCACAGAGTAAGACTGAATCAGTGTTTCACTGATTTGCCTATACTCTTGGCTCTTCTGCAAAAGCACTACAGCATGCTGAAAATCACAGGCCCAGAAATCACTAACAGTTCTTAGTTCAAACACCTTTCACATGCACAAGAGTTACTCAGATGAAGATCATCATTCCAGCTCTGTGACAATTAAAAGAAGGGGGATACAAATCTTGCAAACCAGTAGATAGAAAATCCAGTTTTATGACAGCATGAGATGCAGGAAGAGCTCTGTACAACTATTCCAAAAGCCCAATTCCAATTCCCAGTGGAACTGACTAATTGGCAAGGAAACCAATTCATCCCCATTTTTAACTGCTGTGACTCCAAGAAAAGAACACCCCAATATTACATTTGATTAAATAGAAAAAGCAAACCTACTTTATATGGGCAATGAGAGTCCTGCTGACAGATGCCAGCAATATGCTGGTTATTGTGCAGAAAGTAGGGAATGTGCTCATCTGGCAGGTTGATAGCACTGTAGCTATATAATGGCTCTTCTGGAGTGTTTTTGAACTCAGTAAGGTTTTCAGCCAGAATTCCTTGCAGTAGCAATCCAAACACAAGCAGCATGAACATGGCAACCTGTGAGCTCCGTACTTATTAAACAAATAAACATAAAAGACACTTAATGTTTCTGCATCATGGCACATTTCAAGCATACAAGACAATATTCAACCATATAGTCAAAGAATTCATACTTGTATTTCTGGGGCGATTTCTTTTTCCTAGCAAAAGTAAAACCACTAAGAGACTAGATTGTACAACCTCAGGATTATCTTTGAGTCATTAGTCATTGAGGGCTATTAGCAACCGGCAGTCAGACTAAAATGGGTGTGTTTACTTTAGCTGAATCCCACAGGATCCTGAGAGTTCAAATGTGGAAACTAAGTATAGACCATATAATATCGAGCCAGCAGGAAGAAAATGTAGAAGTCCTGGGGGGAGGGGTGAGAAGAGGAAGAACTTTAGTTTAAAAATAAGTATAAAAAGAATACATTCTCCACTTTGGAAGAAACTAATAATAAGCTGCAGGAAAACTATGCGGTCACAAATAAATGGTCAAAATTAAGTCTCTTTCAGGGTGCTCATTTTTAGTAGTTTACATCATGTTAAAGAAACTTTGAATACTAAGTTACTAAATTAACTATAGTTAATTTTACATATACATATCTATATACTGTAAACCAGACTAGGTACCTTTCTGGTAATGCAACCTTCTCATCAAACACCCCTCCTTTGAACCATCAAACTTCCTGAGAAAACAAAACGATGGCCTATACCTAAAAAAAAACCTTTTCTGGCATTATAATTTGTCAAAATTTGCATGCTTGCTTGCAACTGAAGCCTTTAGCAATATTCCTACAACATAAGTAGTTTTACCTGTTTGGTTCCAGGAGAACTGCTTCAGATTTCCCAAGTACGGAAACCTGGTGGGGGGTGAGGAAAGCCGAGTTAAATACGTCCTGCTTCTTGAGAAACGCTCATAGCAAGGAGAGCAACTCTCTAACAGCCGGGCAGCCTTTCTGACCGCTCTCGGTACTCGGATCCCTGCAAGAACGCACTCTGCTCCCCTTTCTTTCCCCGTGGCAGGCACCGCGGGCAGGGCGCGGATCTCGTGGGGGTCCCACCGCACTCCATCCCCAGCTCAAACCCAGCGCTGCGGTGCCCGGCTCCCCAGCGCGGCGCCCTGGCTGGGGATGGGTCACTTGGGGCAGGCACCAACACTCAGAGCCAGACGCAGCCTCTGGCCCACTCTGGACCCGGTGCTGGTCCCACGATACTAAGACCCGTCTGGGACCCCAGCCCGCGACAGACCCTGTGCTGGGCCCATAGCGAGCCCCATCCCGCCCCGCCCTGAGCCCACGGCGGGCACCTCAGCTCACCTCCGCTCAGCCCCGCTGGCCCCAGGGAGCCCCGCGGCCCATTGGACCGGCCGCTCCTCCCGTTACCCGCTGGCCGACGGCCTTAATCCTCATGCCGCCGCGGCTGCTGTCAGGGGGGGAGCAGGAACGGCCCGGCCCGGCCCCGCGGTGAAAAGCGCCCGCCGTGAGAGGGCTGCTCCCGCCCCTCCTTCACACCCGCGGGCAGCGGAGCGGGGCCGGGCGGGCGGCGCCGCCACACCCCGTCCCGTCCCCCTGTCCCGTCCCCCTCAGCAAGGCGCAACCGCGCCCGGAGCGCTGCTGCCGGATCCCGCCCCACCTGGAGGCGGTGGGAACGCTGAGGGAGGAGCCCGGCCAGGCCCTGCGGCACCTGCCCGGAGCCTTGGCCCTGAAGCGGGAGCGGCGCTGCCTTCCTCCCGCTGCCGGAAATCAAGCGCAGCAGCCGCGGGAGCGGCGTTCTCAGGCTGCGGAGGAAAAGGCCTTTTCCTGCCGCCGCTCAGCAGGAAGCGCAGCCTCCTGGCACCCCATTGTGTGAGGCGGCTCCCCGGAGACCCCGGCCTCCCCTTCCCGCCGCCTTCGGAAGCGGGTTTATGGATCCCCGCTCGGCCGGGCACAGGGATCCGCTCCCGCGCTGCCAGCACGCAGCAGTTCGCTCACGGTTCTACTCGTTCGCTTCTTTGACAAGCTCCGCAGGGGCCACAGGCACCAACACGGGGGTGCTGGGATCAGTCCGCCACCGGACAGACCGCTTCTCACCTCGTTTACAGGTGGGGAACGGGGGACAAGAGCCCAGCCGCGGGAGGAGGACAAAGGGTGACCCCCTGCACCGATACTGCCGGCTCCGACGGCGGTCTGCTTGAATACAGGAAATCGGCCTAAATGTGACAGTGTCTTTAATCCCATTACTGCAGTGCGCTTATAAATAAACCAGCCCCTCACACCTCAACACCCGTAACAGCGTAAGAGTTGCACTGTCATTTGTAATTCTGAATTCAAATTGCATGTATCTTCTAACTTGAGCAGTATTCTTTTATAGCACCAGGTTCATGCACATCCACCCCTCACAAAACTGTTTTTTTTTCTCAAAGAGAACCAGAGCACACTCTTAGCACAAAGTTTTATTTCACCCTGCCCCATGCTTTTTACAGTTCTATACACATTTTACAACTAGAAACCCAGGGGTCCAATTTAACCGTGAGACAACCCATTTCATTCCATACTCAGGATCATTATAGCCCTTCATAAAACATACGTACATGAATCGCAACAAACTTAGAGCAGGACAAAAAAATAAAGAGCAAACCTTCTCTCTTACGTACGAACATGTAGGATATTGAACATCATCTCCTGCATCTATCGAGGATGAAGCAGTGCCCCAAGAAGCGAGTACCAGTGCATTCTACACTTCATCCAAACCCACTGACACCACCTTCCATTACCTCCCACAGACTGAGAAATAAGCCCTCTCTACAGAGTATACATTGAATAAACCGTTAAATAGCATTACTTCACACTTGCAATGCAGTGAAATTGAGGTATAACTTAATTGCTTTCAGAAGGAATATTCTAAACCAATACATTTAAACAGCACCAGACCCAACTCCTTTCATTTTGCAATCTCAGTAGTAGCAATGACCTTAAGGTGGCCAAACAGACATTAATGTTTCTTCAAAACAAGCATCCAGGATTTATACCAAAGATGACTCAAACAGATTACAAGTCTATGTTAGCACTTTGTTCTCTAAGGCTTTGATGATGAAGACACCATAGGCCATCTGATTCTCATGTGATAGTAAAGGTTGCATTGAATGAGAGTAAGAATCAATAAATAGTCAATGTAACTATTGACATCTACTTTTGTAAATTTAAAAATCTAGAACTCTGACAAACGCTTTTGTACTATACCAGTTAATGCTGACTGCATGTTAAAAGCTCCTATTTACCTAAGCTCTTCTAGAAAACCCAAGATAACCACAACTGCACTGGTGTCAGACCTGAAGCTACTCACACCTTACATGGGAAATGTTACCTTTAAAAGCACTGGCAGCAATAGATCAAATTCCTTAAGTGCTCTATTTGTCTATCAAGACTGTAACAAAATGGTCAGAATCAGCATTTTATTGATTCACTGCAGTAGATTAAAGCTGAATAGGATTTCTAACCTTTGAGCATCATACCAGGTTGGTTTTGGTTTTTAAGAAAAGGCTGAACATCTCACATTTGCACATAATTCCAGCAACCAGCAAATCAGTAAGTTCCAACAAGTGATTTTATATGTAGTGGGGTTTGGGGTTTTTCTGTGGAGAAGTGGGAGTTGAAACTTGAAGTGATCAGCCATGCTTCAAATAGGAAGGCAAAGTGTTAAATTCTGAGCTTTTAGAAGAAAAATGGTTTAGAAGAAAAATGGTTTCCACAACTGAAATGAAGGCGGTAAAAGGGCAGCTCCTTCCTATCTCCCCATGAAAAGAAGAGAAAAAGGGTTTCTATGAGAAATAGGGAGTTAAGACAAATTTCAGTGTTCTTGCTCCCTGGCTTTATGGAAATCTTCAGAATGGATGCCTGAACCTCAAACTGAATGAAGCTTTTCCATGAACATACCCTTGCCTGTGTAACTTCAGTAACTGATGGTTCTCACAGTGAGGAATAAATCCCCAGCACTTATAGAAACATCGTATTACTGAGCAGCTCTTTCTCCAGAAGCAATTTCTCATCATTCACATCCTTTGTCTCTCTCTCAGGCCACTGAACACATAAGCAGGAACAGACTTCTCTAACACAAATTAGAAATTGCACAGATGTGAAAAAACACCTCTCCCAGTAGAGCCAATGGTATGATAAGCAAAGAATTTTGACTGCTGAGTAGTTCCCCCCGAGTACCCATCACGGCTACAAGTCTGAGATGCAGTTAAGTATTTGATGTCTGGAATGCAGAGAGGAAGACACACGCTTCTTCCCCCAATTCTCAACATTCCCAAGGGTCCAATTCAAACGTTTCCTCAGACATTACTGAAAATGTAGCGAAGCTTCAAGCCATGTGGATGCTATTTGACCAATACCTTGCTCAAGGAATGGCATGAGAAATATGTTACAGCCACTGGAGACTTATATGAAAACTATATTAAGTCACAGTACAATTTGCAGTAACTTTAAACCTTGCCACTTACATACAAGGAACCATGAGAGCAGCAGCAAGTAACAGAAAGAAAAAATAACCCTCATTTTCTGCATTCTTCTGATCTTAACTACTGCTAAGCATCAGCATCCAAATCTAGAATAAATACTGAATAGTTTAGCTTCCTGATGTTAAAATTAAACACATGTGAGTTACAAGGAAAGCTGCTGCCTCTAGACAGCTCATGAGACAACACAAGTAATATGCAAGATGAAGATGTAATTTATAGTCTCATCTGAGCCTCAGGCTCCGCTTCAGAGGACTTAGTGTAAAACAGGCTAATCTGATTTGGCTAAATGCAGAGAATTATCATCCTAAGGTTCAGATGTTGCAAGTATGAGTTTTCCTGACATAAAAATATCCATCAGTTCTGCTTCAGACAGCAAGCCACTGCTATTTTGTTATTAAAAATTAACTGATGAGGTTTTAGAAAAACTCCTATTAAGAACACTTAAGAAAACCTCCTAATGTCATTTTCATAGATACAGAGTTTATGAATCAAGGGCTGCTTTAGTAAAACTCCTGCCTTCCAGTGCTGTCTCATGAGGTAACAATCATCATTGCTGCTACTGTTTACAAGTAAAATGATCCACCCATAAGCAGAAACTTAAATAAAGGGATGACTGAAAAAAAACATTAAATATTGTACAAATAATTTAACTGCAGACAGTACAAGACACTTGAAGCATTGATTTTTGTCAGGATATGAACTCTATTATATAGTCACATTTTCTATAATACAGTTGGGTTTTTTACAAGACATTTAAATTCAGCATTTACATAAACAATTATCTTTACAGTCTGTTATCATAAAATGTTAAAGAGTTCCAGCAGGACTTAAATTTGTCTCTGTTTTAAAAGTTCATCTATCTGAGTCTTGTACATGTTTTTCACATCTTCGAGGTCTAGCCGAAGTTCTTCAGCTTCCTCTGCTTTCTCTCCATACATCTGAAGAATTGTGTTGTATCTTTGATCCAAATCCTGCAAGGACATGTTGTTTGTTATCTGACTGTTTTTCACCTTTAAGAAGTTGCTGCTATGATAATGCTTTACACTACTACGGAAAACAAGTATAGTGTTATGTTATCAAAGTATAAATACTTTAGAGTGAAGCATAGAGTAAACTCCTCAAAAAAACCTTTATGTTTCGACTCTCTGAACATGGCTAGATTTATACTCCAGATGTAAGAGGAAGACATTCCAATAACAAAGATCCTTGATGACAAAGAATTAGTGTGGATACAGAGAACATACTGAAGCACCTTGAAGTTCAACTACTGTAAGCATTAAAACAGTAAGTAAATAGCCAACAGTTTTACTACAGGAATAACCACATTTAGTGAAGTGTTTCACTGGGAAATTTAATATTCTGTATTTATAAAACAACTATAATTTCCAAAATTATTCCAAAACTATTTCCAGTATTTAAGTTCTTACACATTCAGAGGATTAAAATACCTGTCCTATTACCAGTATTACTACTGCACAATCATTCATCTTCTGCATCAATCTCTAATGCTATTTATCAAAACAGCCCCTTTACTAAAAGACCACTTCCAGACTTCAGTGAGATAAACAAAAAAACAAAGTTCTCTCCCTGATAGAACACGCAATCTTATGCACAACACACATTTCTAACAACTGCATTTTGAAGTGACTACTTAGTCATGGAGGAGGCATTTTCACATTCTACTATTTAAAACCCCCCACCAGGCTCTTCAAGTCATTCATGACTAGGGACAGATTTGAATACAATCCTAAATCGACAGAGGTATTACTAAGAAAACACCACAACTACAAATATGTCAATTTTACATCAGATTTCCAATAGAGATACATTTACCTTTAACTGGGCACGTAATTTTGGTATTTCCTTCACTTTTTCTTCAAGTTCATCGTTCTGATTTGTTAATTTAACCAGTTCTTCTGCCATTATTGATCGAGTTTTCTCAAGATTTCCA